CTTGTATTGGTGGATATACCTGATACCGGTAGTACTGATGAATCACAGTGTGTAAGTGATTAGGTGCGAGTAGCCATATTCATGGACATTAAGGCTGTCAATGGTTAGACAGTATACAGTGCCTTCAAATTTGCTGTTGCTGTTGTCATTCCATGCTTTTGGCTTTCCTAGAAAAATCTCCTTGACCTCTGTAAGGAACACACTACAGGTAGCCTGTGTTTAGTGACTGTTTCACTTAGCGAGGGTTGGTAGTTACGACGATGATGGAAAAAAATAACTTTATGATCACCCCTCACATCTGTGACTTTTGCAGGTCAGTATAAAGCGAAGGGTAGAAGTGAAGTCACATCAGAAGCAGAGTTGTGGTTTTACTGAGCTATCACTTAATGGCTGTGTCTCTGGTTCCTATTGTGGCCATTACATGGGGATTATCTGTACCATCTAGGATAGTCTTGAGGTGCATACAATACAGCATAGTTTTATGGAGAGATAAAAATTTATTGCAGGTCCATCTTTATTTGACACCCAGCTCTTGAAGGAAAGAAAATCAGCTAGGATAGAATTCTGTCCCTATGCTGAGATGTCAGATTTGGGTACTTTGCAAACTTCTGTCTGAGACAGTGAAAAAAAATTAAAGGCACAGGCACATATACACACACATGCACACACCATGTCTTGCTACTTATTGCTGTAGCTTGGCTTTTCAAGAATACAGGAGAATAGGTAGTTTTTATTTTTATTTATTCATTCAATTCCTATAGCCTTTATTCAATTTCTGGGCAGCTTACAATTCTAAAACAAACAAAAAATTAAAAACAATAAAATAATAAAAACATCCAAAGAATAAATACAATACAGCAGCCGAGATAGTTGACCGACTAACAATAAATAAAGTAAATGGGTCCTCTTAACACATTTTGAGCCCCCAGACCCAGATACATGGCCATACTTTAAAAAAAACAACAACAAATTTTATTAATTTTCAAAGAGAATACACAAACAAACAAAACATAAAACATAAAAACATAAAACATCTTTTCTGAAAGCTGCTTGATCCCAGGTTACATCTCTTCATACAGACACAAATTCAAATTCATGTTCATTTTATATACCATTCCATATCTTATTTCCATTTTCCATTTTCTATATAGCTTCTCACCTCTTTTAACTTTCTTAGTTTTATTTTATTTATCTCATCTCAGTTCAGATCATTATGCTTATTATTCTTTGTCTGTTCTGTTTCCAGCTATCTATTTATCTTTTCTCTTTAAACAAAATTTCTCCTGTACACTAATTGGAGTATGACGCCTTTAACTCTTTCCCCTAAATTTATAACACTTAATATAGTACATAACTTCCATTGGGATTCTGTTTAGTACATTCTAAAGTTACACATTATATTTTAAAAAAAGAAAAATTTATAAGTATGTAATATAATTAAAACAACTATCCATGCCAATTCAAATCTATCATTAATATTAATATTCATTTAAATCTTAAACATTTTACACATTACTTTTCAATTGAATACATACTTTTATGGGAACACTTATACTTTCCATAGTTATTTCCCCCCACTTCACATCACTTATATTTTAAATCATTGCATCATTAAAATGTTCCCATTTCCTCCTCCTTCAATTCTCTCATTTATTTCATTGCCTTCCTTTTATTCACAAAAATTTCACTAAGTTACACTGAATATTTTATCCCATTTTTTGATCACATGTTGTTTCCAATTTTCTAACATTATTTCTAAGTACAAATATAACAATACAATCTTTTTTTTTTTTTAAAACAAGTTTTATTAATTTTTAAAACACACAAATTATCATTATTCATTACATGTTTAAACCTTTTTCCCTTGTAAATTTAACAAGTCAGATAAATTATAATTCTGTTTTAAACCATTTCCATATAATATACCAAAACCTCTTATTCAATTTCTCTTTACTTCTCTTTACTCTTATTCAATATCATTATTATTATTTCATCTGTTTCTTTCTGACTTAGTTACCATTATTCTCATTCTATATTTCTACAAGTTTTTACCAATTCTCCCCCCAAAAAAGACATATACACACAACACACAAAACATAAAAAAAATATCTTTTTGGAAAGTAACTTGGACCCAGGTGTCTCTCTCTTCATGGACTTCAATTATATTCATGCTCATCTTACATATCATTACTTATTTTATTTACCGTTCTAAGCCTTCTATATTAACTTCTCCACATATTTCACACTTCTTAATTCTACCTTAATTAATCATCTTAGTTTAAATCATTATATTTGTATCTTTTGTCCATTTTTTATCATCCCTTTGTCTCATCCCTTATGAAAAAAAAGAAAATCAGTTTCTCCTGAAATCATTAATCAGAGTATGATGCCTTTCTATCTCCCCCCTAAGTTAATCAAATTAATCTTTAAAATAATATCTAATACCCAATCAGATTTTGCTTGGTACATTCTATCTAACTAATACATCCAACACAATTAAGTGCATAATTAGAGAATAAATCCAAATATTAAAAAGAAATACTATAATAAAAATTTCATAATAACATCAATACCATAATTTTATTAAACTCTTTAATTAAAACAATATTCTAAACCCCTCCTATTATTAAGTTTTAAAACCAATCATTTTTAAACATTTTAACATTTTAATCTCTTATCAACTCTTAAACCATTGCAATACTACCATCTCATCTTATGTACCTTGCAAAATCTTTTTACTTTATCCATTATCCATAAAAAATTCCTTTTTTCCATTTAATTTCAAAACGTTGTAGCTTTTCTCCACCTTTTCCCTTTCTTTCTTTTCCCAACAAAACTTTCTACCCCCCCTTCTTCTAGCCTCTGCCTTACCGGCTTCCCTTCTCTGTCGTATTTCTTTTCCCCTTTGTTTACAATCATCATATTGGTTTTGCACTTTATTTTTCCCTTTCTTAAATGTTTTTTTAGATCTTAAGTCCTTAAATCCTTTAGTTTTCTTCTTTTCTCTTCTTTTCTTTTCTTTCTCTCTTCTTTTTTTCTGGATCAAATTCTGAGATTCATTAAAGATGGCTCCTTCCTTTCTTTCTTGTTCCTCTGCTGTCTTCATCTGTTGTAATTTTTGTTGATAATTAGTAAGCGCCATTTCTAAGAAAAGGAAAGCTTCTTCCACACCATTTCTTAGTTCCTCAACAGAAAGAGCCATTATAAATCTTTTCTTTTCTTTTCTCCTTCTTTCTTCTTACAACAACCAGAATATTCAAAAGAAAATAAAAAAGATAAAACAGTCCCAAAGTTATCAATCAGTCCAAACCAAGGCAGAGTTCTCACTTTCTCCTTCTGGGGTGATATCAATCAAAGAGAAAGAAAGTCCAAATCTGTTTAAAGTCTTGTTACAATATATTCTAGTCTTCAAATCCTTAAGGCATCTGCTCCAACAAATCTTAGCATACAAATATTTTCTTTTTAATCCTCTCTCTTCCCACTCATCGCTTAAAACCAATTTCCACCTAAAAAAATAGGTTTCTTAATATCCAGTTATTTATTCCGTGGGAAAAGAGGGAAAGCTATCCTTTCAGCACCTTCAAGCAGCCGCTTTTTTCCTCTTCTGGCAGGTATTATTCAGAAAGTCATACTTTTCAGGAATTTTATTAAATATGTCTTAGAGTCCTAGGAGCCAAGAAAAACTTTCTCCTCTCAATCACTTTCTCCACTTCCTCCTGCGCATTCTTACCCGGCTGCCAGCTTCTTTGTGGCGGCCATTACGGACCGCCGCTGCACCGTCCTGGGAAAAGGGGGTTCTGCCGGCCAGGGAGGGGGTCTGCAGCACCCCCAAACCCTTCTCCGGATCCCCCCTACCTTCAGCTGCCCCTGCAGGGCAGCCTAGCTCCGTACCCGGCTGGGTCGGAGCCCCAAAAACGGCTAGCGCGGCAGGGATCGCGCAGCTTCGCAAATCCCTGCCACTCGCGAAGCCGACAAACCGGAAGTCTCAAACAATACAATCTTATGTACCTTTGCAGAATCCCTTTTTCAATTAAATTTTACCCATTATTTCTAAATAAATCTTGTTTCTTTACATCTTGCTCCACACCATTGAGGCTTCTCATCCCTTCCTTCCTCCCTTGCTTCTTCTTCTCCCTGCCCTTTTTACCCCCTTGTCTCTCCACCTCCCTTTTCTTCTTCTGCATTCCCCCTTTCTGTTGTTTTCTAACATTATATCCACTGATATGGACCCGGATACATGGCCACATTTTTAAAGCCTTACAAAAGGCCAACAGTATTGGGGCTATTCTAATCTCAAAGGGGAGAATATTCCACATACTGTAGCAGAAAAGGCTTATCTTCTATTTCCTGCCAGCTGACATTCTTTAGCTGATGGGATCTTCAGCATCCCCAATCTTTTGAATTGACTGGACTGACAGAGGCTCTTGGAAAACGATGGTGTCTCAGGTAAGCCAGTCCTAAGCTATGTAGGACTTTAAACCTGACAACCAGCACTCAGAATCATACTGGTAGCCAATACAGCTCATGTCATTACATAGGCTATGTATCTGGTATCACTTACTACTGGCACAGTTGCATTCTTCACCAGTTGAAATTTCCGAATTTCAGGATCCCGGGACCAGAGATTTAGTCTTCTGAGCTTTTGGACATGTCCTGGAGCCCATCCTCGGGGAACTCCTCTCACACACATTCGGGTGAGAGAGAAGTTCCGCGAGGATGGGCTCCAACACGAATCCGAAAACTCAGAAGAATAAACCTCTGGTCCCAGTGACCGACCCAGATTGAATCTCTGCAACATTATCCTGGGACATGTATATTTGCCTTCCTTCGTTTCTGAAATATTCTTCAAGGGAAGCCCTCTGTAGTGCGCATTGCAGTAATCTAAAATGCAGTTTTTCATGTTTTGTTTTGTTTTCAACCGATAATTTTTAAATGAGGCCTCAAATGTGAACAACTTGTGTTTTGTGCTCTCTCTTTTTTTAAAAAAAAAAACACTACAGGAATCCTGCAGCGATTGGGCATGGCTGTTTCTGTTATGCACTGTTGCGCTCCATCCCAGTTACGGTATATATTATTCTGATCACAGGACTACGATACCATCTCTTTATCTGGAGCGTCTTTTCACCAAAACTCCTCTACGAGGGAGTCCACACTTTCATCACAGCGGCTGTGTGTACTTTCTTTACAGTGGTGGATCACCAGCAGCGCAAAGACTGAAATCCCGGGTCGCGCAGAATTTTACCGTACTTAATTTCTAACCGGGGACCAAAGTTTGACAATAGAATGAGAATTCTTGCTGCTAGACTCCAATGAAGTCTAGAAATTAGTCTTTGAATTTTTTTTTCTCCTGTTTTTCTTGGCTGTGGGCGTGACAAAACCATCCTGAAGTGGCACTTGAATGTAGATGGCTGGGAAACTGAGTGACCGGATTAGCTTTGTTGTATAAATGTTGTACAATCACCTGCTTCCCTTCCCAGTGTCAGATATAGTGCCTTTCTAAATTTGGAGTCCTTATGCTGGGATTTTAAGCAGGTTGATCTTTGGAGTATGCTGGAATGTAACTGGGTTTAACTACAGTTAAAAACCCATGCTGACCACTTCCGTATGAATAAAGGAGTTGTGGTTCTTACTGTTAATCCTATATAATTACAAGGTCTGCTTGTTTTTTGCATTGTGCTTTGCCTAGTTCCAGTGAAGCTATCAATGCAATAAGAGCTTTTGTTTATCATTCCAGCTTGTCGCAGAGACGGACTATGATTAGGACTGGGAAGGTTAGCATTAGGTTCAAAATCAACCAGCAAGCTTCCCTGTCTAAGTAAGGATTAAACCTGGGTCTTTCTGCTCCTAGTGCAGAACTTAATTATAGGTTGTCCTTGACTTACAACAGTTCATTTAGTGACCTTTCAAAGCTACAGCATCACTGAAAGAAGTGACCATTTTTCACACGACCATTGTAGCATCCTCATGGTCACATAATCAAAATTCAGACAGTGAGCTGACAACAGTGAACAGGCAACTGACTCATATTTATGACGGTTCCAGTGTCCCGGGATCATATGATCAGCTTTTGCGACTTTCTGACGACCAAAGTCAGTGGGTAAACCACATTTCACGACCGGATTACTAACTTAACAACTGCTATGATTCACTTCACAATGGTGGCAAGAAAGGTCATAAAATGGAGCAAAACTCACTTTAACAAATGTCTCACTTAGCAACATACATTTTGGGCTCAGTTGTGGTCGTAGGTTGAGGACTACCTGTATTACACCATGCTGATACTTAGTTCAGCATGGTTAAATAAAATAGTAGAATGGGACAGGGTCATAGCCCACTCTTGAGTGGAGAAAGGCCCTAGTGCGGGGGCCTTCAAACTTGACAGCTTTAAGACTTGTGGACTTCAACTCCCAGAATTCCTCCTCCAGTCATGTTAGCTCAGGAATTCTGGGAGATGAAGTCCACAAGTCTTAAACTTGCCAAGTTTGAAGATCCTTGCCCTAGTGCAGGGGTAGGGAAACTTGGCTCTTTTATCACTTATGGACTTCAACTCCCAGAATTCCTGAGTGAGCCATAAAAGGTTCCCCATCCCTGGCCTACTGGTTTTTCAGTTGTGGGGGAAATCAATTTTTGACTGGAATGGGACTGTTTAATTTACAAATGTAGGACATCCTACATTTGTATATTATATGTTATATTAAATGTAGGACATCCTACATTTGTATATTAAACAGTCCCATTCCAGTCAAAAATTGATTTCCCCCACAACTGAAAAACCAGTAGGCCAGGGATGGGGAAACTTTTATGGCTCACTCAGGAATTCTGGGAGTTGAAGTCCATAAGTGATAAAAGAGCCAAGTTTCCCTACCCCTGCCCTAGTGTCATCCGGATCAATGCATCTTTGAATGTTAGAACAGGAATGTCTCTGAAGTCCCTCTCTTGTTTTCTGTTCTTTGTATTGCTGTTGTTTCTGCTGAAAGGAAGTCTTTCAAACCTTTATGATTCTCTCTCTCTCTCCCTCTCTCTCTCTCTCTTTCCCTCTCGCTCCCCCCTCTCCCCCCCCTCTTGATTACGTATGTGTAATATACCCATAGCACAATGGTGGGATTCAGCCAGTTCGCACCACTTTGGGAGAACCGGTTGTTAACTTTCTGAGCAGTTTGGTGAACTGGTTGTTGGAAGAAATCATTAGGGCAGAGAACCTATTGTTAATTTATTTGAATCCCACCACTGCCATAGCAGTTATATAAATGTAGCTTAAGGAATTGCCTGTAGTTTGCTTTGATTATATTTTTCCTCAAACAGAAGTCCAAACATCTGAAAGAGGTCTATCAAGGCACGACTGCTATCATTTATAAAATTGTGTATGCAATTTCTTATGAGCTTTAATGGAAAGTTTTGTAGGAAAAAGCACCTAATTTTGTTATTTTTATAGCTGAAACTTGGAATGAAAATGTTGTGTTATTACATGTTATTACCTTCTTGCCAAAGAATGTGGGTAGATCTGCAGCTGACAAGAAACTTTGTGTAAAATAAGAATCATAATGTCCAGGGTTTTGTTTTTTAAAAAGAGCTATATTTATATGCAGCTTATGGTAGCTCCAGAGTTACCATATCTATAGTAATGTCTCCAGAATATTCTTGATATTGGTATTTTTTTCATGGTTACAAATTTATACATAGATGATATGGATGATTTTTGGGAAGATAAACAGCCTGAAACCTGGTTAGTTTTGGATGGAGAACTACTTGAGAGTTCCAAGACTGTTGGATCAGTGGAAAGTTTAAATAAGAACATCCTGGAAAAAGCTAGTGGAAAGACACTTCTGTAATTTTGCCAAGAAAACTTCATGGATATAATCACAGGAGTCAAACTTGATTCAAGGATGTCTTTTAAGCCTCTCTAAATGCTAATTTCTTCAGCTATGCCAGCCAACGTGATACAAACTGATACAAGCTAGTCTTGAACTTTTTTTGCTTAACGTTTGAACTGCACAATTTGCTCCGTACCAATATTGTGATTCAGATTGCGGGGAGTGAAGGGATATCCATCCCGCACTTATAGTTAAAATCAGCCAAGATCATGCTTGATTTTATGTGTATGTGAGAGAGGAAAGACTAAATTTAAATAGCATACCGATTGCACTCTCAAATTAATGTCCAAATGAACCCACTGTTAAATTGGGATTCTTTTATGTTCAAGAGAAGTGTATAAGAATTTTAATGCTTGGGATATGCTTTGGAAAGTAAATGCTCGAAGCGGTTATGATTTACAGGATCTTTTTATGTCTTTCTCCAAAGATAGAATTAAAAGCTATACAGAAAGGGCTAACAATGATTTTCGAAGCATCTGTGTATTTGCAGCTGTATGTTTCATTGTTTAAAACTGCTCCAAAAGCATTTGATTGTATACATGTTATTGAAAATGGTTGGAATGGTAAGCAGTGGCAAACAAATAATGTGTCTCCGGCAATTACAGTTGTGTTATTTCCCCCGCTATATTTCAACAACATTATTTTTTCCAGAAGGAACAGCTTCTCTCCAGAAGATTTTTTTATTCAGGTGGGATTCTTGATAGGAGGAAGATAAGCATAGAACGCTAACTCATGCAGGGTTACTTACAATGACCTCTGAAGATGTGAAATTCTGCTTTTAAGAATGACAGGAGAGCCGAAATACAGTGGTGCAAAAACGCATCAAAATTATCCAAGGCCAAAGTAGTAGATAAGTCGGAAAATTTAGAGAGTTCCATCTGAAGCTAAGCAACTCTTGACTTGTCAACATAATTTCAAAGTGACAGCATTGGATTCGTTTGCAGTTGGATCTGGAAGCTTAACACTTTGAGATGTTTGCCACCTTGCAGCATTGCAGGTAATTTAAATGAAGGGAAGCTCCCGGCTACTTGTTTTGAATATTAACAATAATCCCCCACATTTGAGTTTGTAGAAATCAATACTCTTTACACACACACACACACACACACACACAAATATGGCTGGAATGAGAGCGATTTTTATATTTCCTGGGAAATACACACATACAGTTTTGCCTAGGTAGATAAAATCTTTGTATTTATTTCAGTTATATTAAAAGTAACCATAACACTGTTTTTCTTTGGCCAGGAGAAGATTTTTTTCTTCTAGAAGACAAATGTTGAGTACTATAGTAATCATGACTGTCATTGAAAGAGCTATTCATTTTAGTTTTTAATTCTAATTCAGCAACAGACAACGACCTCCCTTACTAAATGTGTGTGTGTGGGGTGTGTGTGTATTTGTCTTGATTCTGTTAAATATCCTAAAGTGATCTAAAATGAAACTATGATTTATTTTTCAAAGTTAGCTTAGAGGCACAGAAATAGTTTGTTCTGTTACCTGGTATGGAGGTTGGAAAAGCATATCACAATCTGCATAGTGTAGATCAGCGGTCCTCAACCTTTCTGGCTTTGTGGCCCGGCGGTGACAATGGCGGGTGTGTGTGTGTGTACACGAGCGTGTGCCCCCGCCACTCACACAAATGGAGCTGCATGCGCTTATGTACTCACCCGCTGCTTGTGTGGCCTGGTTCCGAATGGGCCACGGCCTGGGGCTTGGGGACCCTGGTGTAGATGCATTATTTTAATCACTGTGTGCAACCTCACATCAATCCATGGTTTCATATTTTGATTTACGGTAAGTTTTTAACCAGTAATAGATTTGGATACAACTGAGCCATAACTAAGAAATGCAAGCAGTAATAAAGTCTGCATACGTTTTTTTTTATTTTTCCACTCAAGTTCTGCAAGCTTTCTTTGCCTGAACCTTTCCTAGCTGTGTCATAAGGGAGTTAACTGGAGGCACTTCTGCACTTCCCCTCCCAAGTCAGTTTGTCACATGAACAGCTGAACTCAGTGGTCTCTCTTGGATTTTTGCAGTCTGGAACTGGGGTGCCAGAGAAAGACTTTAGTGAGTTGCGAGGTGGGGTGTCTTCTCGAGACAAAGGGGAGAAGAGAACTCTGTCCTCTTTAAGTTTAAAGTCAAGTAGGAGACCAGAAGACGTATTTTGGGTGAGATGCTTCTGAGCCTCTCCCTTGGTGCTGCCACCATGGCAAGATTTGGAGAAAATAAATTGTGTGAGCCTTTCTCCTGCCTGTCCTCAATTGTGTTTGGGGTTGTGGATGTCTCTTCTCTCATCACTGATAGAGAGCTTTCCTTAGAACTTTATCTTCCATCGTGGAAGTTAAAAGAAAGGGGATTGCTACAAAGATTTCCCCAATTTAGTTCTCTCTAATTTATACTGTATTTTCTTTTGCTGGGCAGTTTTGTGGTTTCTTGGATAAATTTGTTCTTTTTAAATAAAAATTCTTATTACTTAATTTGGATCTCTCTCACCTCTCATTTCACAAAAAATTATCTTGCTTTTAAGTCACAGACAATGTGGGAGATGACTCATTATTCCAAGGTTAAAAAAAACAAAATCCCTTTGATCATGCTCAGTCCCTGGGAACTCAAAGAAAGTAGCCAAATATTTTCCTTGGCAACAGTCCAGGCATGGTTTACCTTGCCTCTTTCCAGGATGTTTTTTCAGCTTCTAAATGTAGTCTGCCATCCTGTTATTTCTTGGAGGCTTCCCACATAAATATTTACCAGCTCTAATTCTGTTTACTTTCTGAGGCCAGAAATGGTTGGCCAGGTGCTGTTACCTGTTTATAGACTAACAAGGACCAAAATAAAAAGTCAAGTTTAGCTTTTTTCCAATGTTGGTTAAAATCTCATGAAAGGACTGAAGTGAGGAGATCTCAAGAGTTGGAGACCATTCACAGCGGAGGCGGCCAAGGGGATGTACGCCAACAGAAAATCAGCAGTCACAGCCCAGATTTAATGAAGCAGAAGAGAATTCATGGAATAATTGGAGTGGAAGATTTACGTAAAGAAGGAAGGCAGTTAACGGGATGTGGAAGAACTTTATTTGGCCCTTGATCTGTAGATCTAAGTGACACCCATGAAATCCATCCTACAATATAAACCAGAGAGTAAAAATTCTTCTAAACTATTAAAAAAATAGAAATCATTTGAAAAACAACAACACAGGGTTCTGATGAACAGTTACAATAAAATGTGAACACAGATGCCCAAATATGGTATTACATGCCCAAGATTAGTAGAAACTAAGCCAAATTCAACGTGATTATATTGTTGCTCAATAACAACTGCAGATGGCATACTGAGTAAATCATGATTAAAAAAAAAAAACCCGAGAGCACTAATGTGCTGTGGAGTACTCTTATTCATACAAAAATCAGTTGTGAGCAGAATGTGTCATTAATTTTAAAATTATCTCATGGATGACTTCACTCATTGTACCTCAACTTTTAAAAAAAAGACCAGACCACTTAATGTATAAATGTTGCATATACATATTATTTCTATACTTGTGCATCAAGATTATCCATGCAGACTGACAATTACATTTTCCCCTTCAAAATTAAATCTTGTGCAAATGTCAATTTCTCAATACAGAATCAGCTTGGCCACTGGTTTTTATTGGTATTGTCACCACCAGCAGAATTTTGCAGTGTTGTAGCACTCATTACCTCTTGAATTATTAAGGGGAAATAAAGGATATCCTCAACTTACGATCACAATTGAGCCCAAAATTTCTATTGCTAAGCAAGACAGTTGGTGAGCTTTGTCCCATTTTACGACCTTTCTTGCCACAGTTGAACAACTGCAGTGAATCGCTGCAGTTGTACGCTTGTTAAATAAATCTGGCTTCCCTATTGACTTTGCTTGTCAGAAGGCCGCAAAAGGAGATAACATGACCCCAGGGATACAGCAACCGTCATAAATATGAGTCAGTTGCCAAGTGGCTGAATTTTGATCACGTGACCATGGGGATGCTGCAAGGGTCATAAGTCTGAAAAAGTCACTTTTGTCAATGCTGAAACAAGTGACTTATGACCATTTTTCAGACTTACATTTTTATAACTCCAAACTGTCACTAAAGAAATGTTTGAGAGCTACCTGTATTTATTTTCCTCTGCTGTCTTGTGAATCATTATTACCTGATACTAATTGGTGAGCATTAGGATTTCTTTCAACCATTGACATATCTCCACACTGACAGGCTTACTTTATGTAAGTTGATATCCAGATAACAGATAATCAGAGTTGGAAGGGACCTTGTAGGTCATCTAGTCCAAACCCCTGCCCGAGCAGGAGACCCTACACAATTTCTGACAAATGGCAGTCCAATCTCTTCTTGAAAGTCTCAAGTGATGGCGCTCCCACAACTTCTGAGGGCAAGCTGTTCCGTCGGTTGATTGTTCTCACTGTCAGAAAGTGTCTCCTTATTTCCAGGTTGAATCTCTCCTTGTTCAGTTTCCATCCATTATTCCTTGTCTGGCGTACAGGTGCTTTAGAAAATAGGTTGACCCCTTCCTCCCTGTGGCAGCCCCTCAAATATTGGAAGACTGCTATCATGTCTTCCCTGGTCCTTCTTTTTACTAGACTAGCCAACCCCAGTTCCTGTAACCATTCTTCATATGTTTTAGTCTCCAGTCCCCTAATCATCCTGGTTGCTCTTCTCTGTACTTTTTCTAGTCTCAACATCTTTTTTATAATGTGGTGACTAAAACTGGATGCAGTACTCTAGGTGTGGTCTTACTAGGGCTTTATAGAGTGGTATTAGTACCTCACTTGATCTCGATTGTATCCCTCTGTTAATGCAACTTAGGATTGCATTAGCTTTTTTGGTGGCTGCTGCACACTGCTGGCTCATATTTAGCTGGTTGTCCACTAAGACTCCAAGATCCCTCTCACAGTTACTGCTATTGAGCCTGGTTTCACCCAGTCTATATGTGTACTTTTGGTTTTTCTTGCCTAAGTGTAGGACTTTACTTTTCTCTATATTGAATTTCATTTTGTTAGATATGGCCCAGTGTTCTAGTCTGTCAAGATCCATCTGGATCTTGAGCCTATCTTCTTGGGTGTTAGCTATTCCTGCCAGCTTAGTATCATCTGCAAATTTGGTAAGTTCCCCTTCCTCATCTAAGTCATTAATGTAGATATTGAAGAGTACTGGGCCTAAGACAGAACCTTGTGGCACCCCCCTGCTTACTTCCCTCCATGTAGACTTAGACCCATTAGGACTACTGGTTGAGTATGGTTTGCCAGCCAGTTGCGAGTCCACCTGGTGGTGGTGCTATCTATTCCACTTTTTTCTAGCTTACTAAGAAGTAGGTTGTGGTCTACTTTATCGAATGCCTTGCTGAAATCTAAATATATTATGTCCACAGTATTTTGCTGGTCTACTAATTTAGTCACTGTGTTGAAGAATGAAATAAGATTGGTTTGGCATGATCTGTTTTTAACAAATCCGTGCTGACTGCTAGTTATTACTTCACTTGTTTCTAGATGTTGGCAGATCTGTTTTTTTATTATCTTTTCCAGTATCTTCCCGGGTATTGATGTTAGGCTGATTGGTCCATAGTTTCCTGGGTCTGGTTTTTTTCCCTTTTTTGAAGATGGGAACCACATCAGCTCTTTTCCAGTCCTCTGGTAGTTCCCCGGTGCTCCAGGATTTTTGAAAGATATGGTGCAGTGGTTCTGAGATGCCCTCTGCCAGCTCCTTTAAAACTCTGGGATGTAATCCATCAGGCCCCGGTGATTTGTTTTCATCAAGATCAGACAGGTGTTCTTTTACTATTTTTTTGCTTATTTTAACTTTTATTTCTGGTCTGTCTTTTATAGTTATGTTTTTGGTGGGTTGAGCTATAGTTTCTTTTTGCGTGAAGACCGATGCAAAGAATGATTTAAGCAGTTCTGCTTTCTCTTTGTCGCCTGTTACTTCCTTCCCGTCTTCTCTCTTTAGTGGACCGACTGTTTCCTTGATTTTTCTTTCTATGTTGGAAGAAACTTTTTAAAATTATCTTTGACTTTTGTTGCAAGTCTTTGTTCGTTCTGAGCCTTTGCTTTCCTGACTTTGTCTTTGCAGATTCTGGCTATCTGCAGATATTCTGCCTTAGTTGTATGTCCTTCTTTCCATTTTTTGTACTTGTCCTTTTTTTCTTTCAATTTGCCAGAGAGATCTTTGTGCAGCCATGCTGGTTTCTTCTTAGATTTCTTGTTTTTCTTTCTCAGTGGTATTGTGCTGGTCTGGGCTTCTATGATCGTACTTTTCAGAGTTTCCCAAGATTCTTGAGTTGTTTTCTCCTTTAGGATTTTCATCCATGGAATCTTTCCCAAGTTCTCTCCGAATCTATTAAAATCAGCTCTTTTAAAATCCAAGACTCTGGTGTCATTATGTTCTATTGCTTGTGTTTGTGTTATGTTGAATTCTAGTATGACATGGTCACTCTCACCCAAGGTTCCTGCAGTTTCAACTCCCTCTATCACTTCTTCTCTGTTTGT